AGTGGGGTGAGGAGGAGATCGAGGATGGGAAACAGTGGTGGAGGCTTTTTAAGCTTCTGCCTGAGTTTTGCCCACCTCCAGTCAGGAGGCCATGAAAACAAGCAGCCACCGTGTGGGAAAAAAGGAAATTCAGCCAAGGTCACTGTAGACGGCTCCCTGTGAGCCCATCTGCTTACAAGGAGAGAGGAAAAGGATCAGCCCCTCCGCCCAGCCCAGCCCAGCTCAGCTCAGCTCAGCTCTGCTCTGCTGGCTGGGGAGCTCAGGCCTCGGCCATCCTGTCCCACTCCACCCGATCTCTGTCTCCTTCATCCAAGAGGCCCTGTGGGTAACATCAGCTCATTTCCCGGAGAGCACTGCTGAGCACAAACACAGATTCCCATGGAAACTAAATCAAATCAAAGCCTCTGAATGACAGAGGACACAGGTGGAAGGAATTAGATACAGACAACGCAGCAGGAAAGGCAATCTGGGCACAGAAAGCCACCCAGCCTATGAGCTAGGAATGGCCAGGCGTGGACACAGCCCTACTGTGTCTCCCTCACAGCTGGATTCACGGGACATTGGCCCCAGATGTGGAAACTGAGTCATCCTTGTCATCAATCTCATGGTGCGACACCAGCAAAATCCCTTGAGCCTTCTCTGGGCCCTACAGGCAGGGAAGCTGGGATGAGAGGCAGGAAAAAAGGGTGGATAGCGGTTCCAGCTGAATATTCTGTGCTCAAGGGATGTCAACCATGAGAAGCAGAGGTTGGGAGTAGAACTGAGAGGTCAGCCTGGACAGTAAGAAATTCCTGAGACTGTGGTAAACGATGACTTGGAGCAGAGACACACGTCACCATCTCCCGTCACACAAGGAGGCACCAGGCGGAAGATCGCAGCCGAAGCCTGCCCGAGTATCACAGAAGACCTTACTTCAAAAAAAAGCAAGGCAAAATAAGCCTGGAGCCATGGCTCAAGTAGAGGTACACCAGCCATGAGCCAGAAAGCCAAGTAAGAGCATGAGGCTCTGCGTTCAAGCCTGTTACTAGTGTGTGTGCGTGTGTGCACACACATGTCGCTGTTAGACATTCATGATACATGAGTTCATCATAAAGGCAGTGTTCTTGCATTTTCAGAAGCCCAGCTGGCCCTAGATTTACAACTGTCCTGATACTACTCCGGCAGGCTCTTACACATCTGTGAATGGCTCATCTCACATCTCCCTCCCTGGTGAGCCAGCCCTGAGCTAGGGCGTGGATGTCAGTAGCTTTAAGAAGATTTCTCCATCTGGAGCAGGAGTAATGGATCTGGGCCATCTCAAAGACATCTGCCTGTTCTAACAGCCTTAGACTCTGGAATGCTTGCCAAAGAAAACAAAGCTAGAAACTGGAACCCAAAATACTTCCCGTCTCCCCACTCACTTGAATTTACAAACAAAGCTGCCAACCCCAATTCTAGAGCCTTCTCAGCAGGACCAGATCAGTCACCTTCTTCCCACAGCCATAGCACTGGAAGCCAGCCACCTCACCCCACCAGCTTAAACTCTGGGGAATCCAGAATGCCAGCTGGGAAGGGGACACACAGGTCTCTGAAAGTATCTCACCAAACTTCACCCACACGTAACAATCTACCTGCCCAGAACACCACCCAGGTCCACACAGAGCATCTCAGGTGATGTCCGCAGAGAGAGGTAAAGTGCGGTGCCATCTGCTGAGGCAGCCGGGCTGTCTCCTGCAGACTGTCCCTCTGCGGGCCTGGCAGCAGACCCTCTCTGCAGCATCCACATAGCTTCTGTGCTTTAATGCCTGTGTTTTGACTCACTGGCTGAAATTGTAAGACTTACGTGTGTGTGTGTGTGTGTGTGTGTGTGTGTGTGTGTGTATGTGTGCGCCCGCGCGCCAGTACTGGGTCTTGAACTCAAAGCATGAACACTGACCCTTGGCTTTTTTGCTCAAGGCTGGTGCTCTACTACTTGAGTCATACCTCCACTTCTGGGCTAGTTAATTGGTTGAGTCTTGTGGACTTTCCTGCCCAGGATGGCTTTGAACCATGATTCTAAGGTCTCGACCTGCCAAGTAGCTAGGATTATAGGTTATTATCCTGACCTCTGCCACCCCATCCAGAATTTTCTCTGGGTAGTCCCCACTTCACCAGGGCCCTTTGTCTCTTTGGTCTGAATAGCCCACAGATCAGTAAGAACTACCATTCCTGGCATCTGTTCTACCTGGACCCAGGCACAGAAAACATATACAAATGTTTTGCAAACCAGGAGGGGAACACAGAATGGCTGGGATGGAGTTCGGTGGTAGGGGTCTTGTCTAAATGTGGGAGTCTTGGCTGGCATCAGTCTCCAGTATTAAAAATCTAAAAAAAAAAAAAAACTAAAGCACAACACAGAAGTGAGTCACCTTCTAGGGAGTGGATGAATTACGCCTCTAGGACTCGGGGTAGGAGACTTTTTCTGCCAAGGGCCTTTGGCTATTTCTAACATCACTGCATATAAATATTAGTATAGGCAGATGGCAGCAAGCAGCTGAAGAAGCACGCATTTGTCCCGTTGATTCTGTCTACAGTTAAAAGGCAGGGATACATTTAAAGCAGACAGAGCAAGTTTATTTGAAAGTAAAAGGAAAGGCATGAAAGGCTAAGTAAGGGAGACTGAACTGAGCTGGGGCCCCCAAAGAGGAGTCCAGTGGAGTCCTTTCAGAGCTTGGAGTTAATAGTATGAGGCTCCTCCCCTAGGCTTGATGCTGATTGGCCCATGGCATGGGCCACCCCAGTTCTTTTCATTGGGAGCAAATACTGAGGGCTTTATGAGAGTGAGAAGTGCAACGATGGGCCTGGTGTTATCTGCTACATGTCATGTCTGTCACTTTCCATCCCTAACTACCACCCTTTCTTTCCCTTACCATCATATATGAATGATTTGGGTTTGAACTCAGGGCCTGAGCTTTTTTACTCAAGGGAATATTCTACTAACTTGAGACACATTTCCACTTCCAGCTTTTTCTGGTGGTTAATTGGAGATAAAAGTCCAATAGACTTTCCTGCCCAGGCTGTCTGTGATTTACGATCCTCTGATCTCAGCCTCCCGAGCAGCTAGAATTATAAGTGTGGGCCACCAGGGCCCAGCTTGAATGATTTTTGAATACTGAATATTTTCTAGCTCTGTCTAGCCCAGAATCTTTAACCAAGATATAAAACATCTATGACAACCATATTATTACAGACAGATTTGCCTGTCAATTCTACTCCTAGATGCCCTGTCAAAATTGAAAGCAGAGTCTCAAACAGGTATTTGCACATCTATGTTCATAGCAAAAAGGCAAAAGACAACCAGGGGTCCATGAGTGAACAGTGGACAAGAAAAGCATGACATACGTACAATGGAATGGGGCTCGGCCTTCCCAAGGAAAAGAACTCTGACCCAAGCAACGTGGATGAACGCAAGAATATGACACTGAAATGGGTCTGAACAAAAAGACAACTACTATGTGGTCCCACTTAGAGGAAGCACTTATCATTGTCAGAGTCACTGGCAGAAAGCAAGATGATGGGTACGAGGGTCTGGAGACAGGAAGGTGTTTGTTGGGGTTAGCATCAGTTCTGCATAATGGAAAGTACTTTAGATGCATGGTAGGGGACAAAAAGTAGTTTAGATGTGGCAGTGGTAGTGGCTGTGTATGAATGCTCTTAATACCACTGAACTGTACACCTAGTTATGATGGCACATTGCATGTTATGTGTATTTTACTGCCCTCGATGGTGCAGCATGTGAAGGTGCAGTGATGTGCGCAGAACATCACATCCTTCCTGCTCAGAGAGTTTGTCTATGACTCGTAGTTTTACCACTCTGGCCTCAGTTTCCCCATCTGAGTGATGAGATACTGCCTGTCATGTTGCTGAGAAGCCCTCAGTGTGGTGTCTATACAGGGAGCAGCATCTGCCCAGGCCGCCCTGTGGCTGGGAGGGGAGAGGCTCAGGATCTGGAGACCCCTCCCCCAGACACTGCTGGGTGGTCTCGGAAGACTCACTTCACCTAGATGCTTCCCCCACTCTTTGGACCAGCTGGCAGTAAACCAACAGTGGGCTGACTCTCAGGTAAAATTGAGAAAGCCTGAGGTCTTTTCTTGAGGTGGCCTGAGCCTGGACAAGTTCCACGCATCAAATGCAGAGATGAGAATTCAGCCACTGTGTGACTGGCCAGGCACACGTAGCCCCTTTCCACTGCAGCTTCCTCTGCTCACACTTCTCATGCTAGCTACTTGGAAGACTGAGATCTAGAGGACTGGGGTTTAAGGGCAGTCTGGGCATGCACAGGAAACCCTTTCCTTCACCAATAGCAGGGAGGAGAAGACTCTGGAGGAGAGAGCAGAGCAGTCATCAGGGCAGGATGAGATAGAAGATGGAGATGCAGAACTGGGAAGGGGCTGGAAGCCAAATGCCTCCATGAGAGCAAGTTTGGGCGAGCCTACCTCAGCTCACCTGTGGTGGCTATCATATGCTCACCTCTCCTCTTCAGAGAGACACAAGCTCTGGACCCACTCTGCTCCCTCCATTATCCCCTGGGATAATGAATCCAGGGCCTATAGCTGTAAGGTTCCAACCACTCTCAGCCGAGAGATCAGCCTGCTCTTTTGAGCGTTGGCTCCTGGACAAAGGGATAGACACACCCCTGGCTGGCCCACCCTGCTCAGGATGGACATGCTCAGTCCTGGCCAACACACTGGAGAAAGACTGTTTTCATATCTTGAGCAAAGCCAAGGACAGCAGGCCTACCTGACCCAGCGTCTCAAACCTGCCCACAGCCCAGCAATGTGCCCTCCCTCGCTTCCTCCTGGGAAATTCCAGTGCTGCCCATTTCTACATGAGATGCACCTGAGAGTGGGGATCTGGAGAGCCTATTTCTTTGTCTTCCCTGGCCCTCACATTTGAACATAGATCTACTTGAGGTCAATGGAGAGAGAACTGGCAGAGCAGATGGGGCAAGGTGTGGGGAAGAGGCTGGGTTCTCTACTTACCTGAACATCAAACTCCTGCAGGAGGCCAGTGATGGTCTGTGGAGAGACAAGACAAGAAAGACAATCAGAGTCCTCAATTAAGAGAAGCCACGTCAGAGCATGTGCAGAGAGAGGGGAGCAACATCCACTGGTGCTGTGCTTGCTGTTGGCATCTTTGGGTCAAGTCTCCTCTGTGAGCTGGACACAGGAGCCCCTGCCCTGAGCCCGGACAGGTCTGGTCCAGCCTGAATTGATTATTCTGATGGTGAACACCTTGTTTACCAGAACTGGGACTTGAACTCAGGACCTTGAACTTTTTCACTCAAGGCTGGTGCTCTACCACTTGAGTCACAGCTCCACTTCCAGCTTTTTGGTAGTAAACTGGAGATGAAAGTCTAACAGTCTTTCCTGCCTAGGCTGTTGGAGAACTGTGATCCTCAGACCTCAGCCTCACTAGCAGGTAGGATTACAGGCATGAGTCACCTGTGCCTCTTGACACTGGACTTTTAAAGCAAATTCATATCCCAATTGTCAGAGCCTCCTATGCATTCAAAGATGTGTGTGTGTGTGTGTGTGTGTGAATGTGTGCAGACTTCCCACACATGAATATGCATGTTGCATACCACAAGCACACACTTGCCTGTGACAGGGAGAGCCAAGAGGTCCACTCACCTCTCCTTTCTCCACAAGAGGCTTCACCTCAGCGAGGTCCACATCCTGAAGCTCTCGAGACATGTCTGCTATCACCTCCTGTGAGGGGGAAAGAGGCCAGAGGTCAGGACTTCTGGCTGAGACAAGTTTCCTGAAGGCAGGTAAAGGCTGGGCCTCCGCAATTCCCTGACGTAACACGCTCTACCTGCTACCAGGAGGGACTCACCCCCTCCCACTGGGACTGGGTGCTAGATTTCCTGGGAGAGGAAACTGAGGCACAGGGGTACAATTTCCTTTCTGGTGACATGATGAACATTCCTGCCCATCACACCCAGGATGCGTCTCGCTACTATGATTCCCAAGGCAGACAGCCCCAGAATGATAACCAACAGGGAAAAGGGGTTCCATAGTGCCCACCCCCATACGCTGGCACTGCCTGACTTTATCCTACACCCACATCTCACCTCTGAGCAGGACTCTGAGCTTCCTGCTGAGAGGGAGCAGGGACAGAGGGGGCAGATCTCAGCTCTGACCACCACTGAGCACTCGTAAGGCCTTCACTACAAATGCCAAAGCAGGGAGGGGAGAGGCAGGGAAGGGAGAGGCAGGGAAGAGGCAGCAGAGCCTTCTTCCTGGCTCAGCCTCAGATCGGGTGTGAAGGGCCAGGAAATGAGGCTGGCAAAACAAGATTGCAACAGAATTCAAACAAGCTTAGGATGCTTGCCTTAATGGCTCCCAGGGGATCAAGACTTGGGTAGGAGTGTGACATCCATCTATAGGAGGTGACAACTATGGGAGGTGACATCCATGGGACAGTGATATCTTCAGGAGAGTGACATCTATAAGAAGCGACAGCTACAGGACAGTGACATCGACAGGAGGTGAAATGTGTAGGTGATGACATTTATAGGAGAGTGACATCTAAGGGATGTGACATCTGTGCAAGGTGGCATCTACAAGAGGTGACGGCTATGGGAAGTGACATCTATGGGAGGTAGTGTCTATGGGAGGTGACATCTATGAAAGGTGATCTACTAAGCGTCATGCGGGAACTGGAATAGAAACATTCATTTTGATGGACCAATAGTCAAGTTGGAAAAATTCAATGTCCAGCAATAAACAGGTGGAGGTCCAGGAAACCCAGAAGAGTAAACAGTGCTGCACAGAGGCCTGGAGTAAGGGAAAGAGTCAGGGGACACAGCCAACACTCAGTGCCTGGATCCAGGGTTTCGGAGTGGACAGACCCAATGAGAAAAGCTTGGTGTAGGCTTTAGACTGCTGCTTTCCACAGCCTCGGGCCCCAGCTGCCTAAGGACCCATGAACACCGAGAAGAGAATGTGAGTCCCAAATGTCAGCCCCAGGGCTCCTCTGAGGACCAGCTCCCCAAATCCACAAGGTTGTGTGAACCTCCTCTGCGAGGTCAGCCAGTGAGAGCTGGTGACCTGGATCTACGCCCCGAGCCAACACATGGCAGTATGTGGGTGAGCCCCCCGGGGCATGCCTCGGTCTGGGACCCCAGTGTGACTTTCCCCAGTAGATGTCCACCCCACAAGAATGCCTTTCTGTAGCCTTTGGAGTCTGGGCTCTGGAAAATTCTGAAAACAAAGTCGGGTTTCTATTTATTTGTGTTCCTGGGATGCTGCCAGCCTGGAGGCAGGAGGAATGAAAAGCCCTGGGTCTGTCGGCCTTGCTAATTCAGCATGTTTGTGGTCCCGAGACCCTGGCCGTGGGACATCTCGCCTACACAGCTGAAAGAACCTTCTAGAAGCTCAGGGTACTGGCAATACCACCACTCATGCTGAGAGCAAAAGACAGCAGGGTTCACAGGGGCTTTGGGTCACACCCTGCTTGGCAGACAGCCCAAGGGTGAAGCTGGGGTCTTCTGCTGTCCCACGGGGTGATTCAAGCAGGCCTTCTTCAGCCCCATTTTTATCTACCTTGTTCTGCTCTCTGCCTCCAGCTACCAGATGCGGGCCAATATTCCTGTATCCTTGACTCGGTGAGCAATGCCACTTAATAGCAACACACTTATTGACGTTCACTATTAACTGTCATTAGCCCATGAGAGAAAGGGTCTGGAATAGAACTCAGTAGATGGTCCAGCTCAGACCAGTTTGGCGAGTTCCATTTGGCTTACAGAAGCTAGGATCACACTCTCCTTCCTCCTTCAGCACAGAAAGAGCATGCACTTCTGCTTCCCTCAGTACTCCTGCTGAAACCCATACACCTCACTCCCTTTCTGCTTCCTCCACCTGCACATTTCAGACAACAGCACATAGTAGGTGGAAAGATGGCTGAGTCTCCTAAAACAGCAAAGACTTTGAAATCTGCCCCCCTTGGGCAACTCAGAGTCTACGAGGAAAGGCCAAGGGAGAAGCAACAGGGACTATCTCAGTTTATCTCCATGAAGGCTAGTTTTTGTCTCCAGGGGACCTGTGGCCACGCCTTGAGACTTTTGATTGCTGTGATTATCATAGCATCTAGTGCTCAGGGGCCAGGACAGCTGCTAAACAGCCAATGGTGTACAGGATGGACCCATAACACAGGATGATCTGACCCAAACATCGCCAGTGCCAAGGCCAGGACACCGAGGACTCTGAAGTCCTTGGTACAGAAAGTCTGGAGAAAGCTCAAGACAGACACTTGTCCCTTGGGGACAGTGGGGCCTGACCGTCCATACACACACTGTCCTGTCAGAACTCCTGCCAGAAGGTCTACCTTATACAGACCACTCAGAGATACCCAGGGCTATGTAGGAACCTGGCTGTGCACACCTAGCCTACAACAGATGACCACAGCACATTAAGCTAGCCAGATGCAGGGTCTAGTACATAGCCTGCCTAAGTGACCAGAGACTAGCCATTCCTACCACAACAGTGCTTTAGGACCAGGCCCTACCTGACTCTGATGCCTGGTATCAGTGTCTCTTTGGGGCTTGAACTCAGGGCCTAGGGCACTTTCCCTTAGCTCTTTCACTTAAGGTGAGCACTCTGCCATTTGAGCCATAGCTCTACTTCTGGCTTTGTGCTGGTTAATTGGAAATAAAGGTCTCAACGACTTTCCTTTCCAGGCTGGCTTTGAACCAGGATCCTTAGTCTCAGCCCCCCAAGTAGGTAGGATGACAGGTGTGAGCCACCAGTGTCTGGCCAAAAGTTTTCCAACATTTTTCCCCCAGATACTTTCATGCAAAAGGAACCTTAAAAGCAGGTTCAATATAAAAAACAAACAAACAAACAAAAAGCGGGGCACTGGTGGCTCACACCTGTCATCCTAGCTACTCAGGAGGCTGAGATCTGAGGATCGCAGTTCAAAGCCAGCCCAGGCAGGAAAGTCTGTGAAAATCTTATCTCCAATAAACCACCAGAAGACTGGAAGTGATGCTGTGGCTCATGTGGTAGAGTGTTAGCCTTGAGCTGAAGAACTGAGGGACAACGCTCAGGCCCAGAGTTCAAGCCCCATGACCCACCAAAAACAAATAAATAAAATGAAAAATAGAAAACAGAAAGGCAGGAGGGCTTTGGATGTGGCCAGAGGCCCGGGCCACTGCGGGTTCTCTTGGCAGCACGCGGCCCTGTTGTTCTCATTGCTGTGTCTCACGGCAGAGGTCTTGAGACTCTGAGACTTGGCGCTAGACATTTGGGCCTCAGAGTTGTTTGCTAGGGGGCTTCTGAGTATCCTATGATGTCCAGCCTCCCCTCCTCTTCCCTCCACGCATGTCCCCAAGCTGTGACAGACATGGAGTGGGACCTGGTAGAAATGGCTGGTCATAGAGCTCACAGTAGGGAACAGTTATCCAAAGGAGGTCTATTTTAGGCACAAGTCTTGTTTAATCTAGTCTCTCTCTCTCTCTCTCTCTCTCTCTCTCTCTCTCTCTCTCTCTCTCTCTCCTTTCTCTCTCTTTTAGTATCTCCCCACCCCTCCATCATCACCATCTTCACAGGAGGCAGCTGATACCCGAGATGTGATGACCATTCTCAGCTCCTCCCTCTGATAGCCAGCTGTCAGGGAAGCTCACTTCCTGCTAAGACCCCATTCCAGAATCAGGACTCGAGGTCACACCAGCTGCTGTGCTGGCTGGGACCCCTTCTTCCATTCCCATCTGCCCACTTCCAGAAACCTAGGAAAGTGAAGACAGACAGCATGGAGCTAAGGAGAAGCCTGGGTTCAGACTCACACTAGTACCCCTCAGCTTGATGGTCCTGACCCGAATGCCCCAGTGTGCCCATCTGTGAAATGGGCAAGCTAAGCAGGCTTGAGAGACACAATGGCACGCCAAGGCCAAAGAACAGCTGCTTATTACATCAGCGCAGTCTCCTTCCCTGGTTGCCTCCCCAAGCCCCCATGTCACTGTGAGGATGTGATGTGTGCACTGTTAGCCCCAGAGTGGGGACACTCACAGAAGTTGCCAATGCAACTGGGGTCTCCAGCCTGCAGACCAGTGCACTGACCTTCACTCCCTCCCCATCAGCAATGCCAATCAATGAGCAACAAGACGCAAGAAGCTGAACACAGACCTCGCTGGTTCACCAACCCCAGGGGAGTCAGCATTTAAATGGAACTCAAGGCTTGCCGGGCAGCCAGGACCAGGATCCGCCCGGGGAGGGAAGAATGCATCCCCAGTGCCAGGGAGGGCAGGGGGCAGAGGCAGCCCAGTGGTACTTGGCAACTGCTACCCGGCCAGTGGGGGCTGGAGGAGGCACACAGCAGGAGGCTCCCAAGGCCCAGGACACTTGGTTGGCAGTGCCAGTCCTAGGGATCACGCCACTAAGAATCCTGGCTTCACAACGTTGAGCAAACCATCACCTCGCTGTGCCTTGATATGTCTATAAACTGTGCGTGCACAGTGTCTGCTCTATAGAAATGATGGAAAAGTTGGCGCCCCGAGACCAAAGACCCAAGCACACAAAGCTAGCTTCTGGGCAGAACAGCCCCACTTGCTCCTTCTCGTCCTCCCAGCCTCGGGTGCTGGTCTGCTGAGACTAGGAGAGTCTGCCCGGCTGTCAACCTGTGCTCACCCTCCTGAGGCTCCCGGGACTCCCACGGGGTGAGATGGGCCAGGTGTCGCCTACGAGAGACCTCTCCACGTCTCTGTGAACTG